CGATGTGCATTCGCGAAACGAGAGTCGACGGACAGGGCGAAGATCGACGACTCTTCTGTCGAAATTGAGGATCTTCAGAGAGGACTGAGAGCTCAATTCACGCCGCAGACTCGTTTCGGTAATCGTCTTCTCCCCGCGCGTTTATAGAGATGTGCGCTAACGACGAGACAATTGATAGACCGTCGATAAGTACGACATAGGAAAAAGAATTCGGGGAGATACGCCCGGCCGTGCGTTAATCAAGCTCCGCGATCGGCGCGAGGCATCAAAGGGCATCACGATCGAATTGGAAATTCATTGCATGCAAATCACAAGGAGAGAAATTTATTTCCTCCTTTATATCCGGCGCGCGATCCCTTCGCTTCTCAATCATTTCTTTCCCTGCCTCCCTCCCTCCCCCCGTCCTTCCCTCCTACCTTCCTTCCTGTCAAACCGAGCTCGTAGCCGCAAATTAGCTGCTCACGGCGGCGGCTAAAAGAAAATTAAAAGAGGGTACCCGCCTCCCGGCAACCCCTTCTTTTTTCCCTGCAGCCTCTGCCCTCGTTCTCCCTTGTTTTTAGCGTCCCGGGAGAGGCGCGGCTACCTCCTCGCGAAATTTCAGGATCCCACCATTTTTGCGTCGCGCGCGGGCTGTGCCATGCTCGAGACGTGGATGGAAATTGCAGACGCGAGCAACGAAATTTGTATAACGTCGAACATACACTCCTCGGATAATTCTCGGATATCAAGAATCAGCAAGGCAACACCGTGTGCGCTGGATATATACTCTTGATGATTCATCATGATTCGTCCGCGATTCAACCACGACGCGACGCGCGACAGCACACACGCATACACACGTAATCCGTACGAAACATAACAGTAATGTGTATACAAAGGACCCCCGCAACGACAATCCATTCCATCTTTCCTTATCGTATAGCGATCGACGTATGTGTTAATTATCGCGCGTCGCGACGGCGCGAGCATGAAGTCGCCAATGCCTAATTAAGTATATATAAACGCGAGCGGCGTGGAAATAAAAAATGAAATCGATTGAAGCGGCCGGTCTGATGAATGATCGATTGTCCGCGCGGTCTCGCGTGTGTGCCTCGCGTGGCGGCGGCGATTCAGCCGTGTACGCGAGCCGACGGTGTCGAAGCTATACGCTATCGGGAAAACGCGACATACATGCTTATACATGAAGACGGGAGAAATTAGAGAAACGGGGGAAAAATCGGAAGGGATACCGATCACGATCGCGGCGTACGCTGATTATTCTGTCACGTCGATTCGGCCGGGTGGTCTGTTATTACAGTTGTAAGCGTCGAATCTAATCCGCTCCCGATCGTCGACGGAGCGCGGAGCGTCGTATAGTATACATCCCCCGTTGTACCCGTAATCCCGTAAAGATGCAAATTTCCGCCGTCTCTTCACCGTCGAGCGAACGGGAAGAAGAAACGGACGACGTATTGCGCGCGGTCGGGATTTAACCGCGGCGTATTCCGCTGCACGCGCGTACGACGGGGGTAGGAAATCGGGGAGCAGAGCGGGGGGGGGGGAAGGCAAAGGGGAGGATTCAGGGGGTGAACCCGGAGAGAGGCGGAGTAGTTACAAGCGCCGAGCAAGCTGCAGCAGTATACGGATTCGGGGGTGTAATGTGCTACCCACAGGCAAATATTCGCAGATGTGAGCCGAGAGCAACGAAAATTCGGCTTTGCAGCGCTCGTGCCACGGCGGCGGTACCAGCTAACAGGATTTATTTGTATCTACGTGTACGTACCGCGTTCCGCATTTCAAAGCCCTCTCTCTCTCTCTCTCTCTTTCTCCCGCTGACTCCCGTCGGGGTGGATTATATGTGATGTGTAGCGGGTACACACTGCACATCCGCACGCAACGTACATATAGACATATAGATGAAATAGAGGGAGAGAGAAAGGAAAGAGAAAGACAGAGAGAGAGAACTGAGCTAACTAACGGGCTAGCAGTTCATTAGAGATCGCTAAACTCTAGGGCGGCCCACCCCCTTCCCCGTGCAGACGGGGGATGAGGATTTCGTTATTGCGCGATATGCGTTTCGTTCGGACGTGCAGAGAGACGGTCTCTCGCCGAATTTTCGCTAATGTAAGAGTAGATACACGCCGAATTCTAAAGCACACACACACACACACACACACACACACACACACACGCACACACACACACATGCGTTTATATATACACCCTCGCGCGTATAACGAGCGTATAGAACTACCCAAGAGAGGCAGTATCGATTCCATTCGCGAATCGAGAGAAGTCGCGTTTCCTGGTACCGATATCCGTGTCGCACACAGCCGGAAACGTCGCGAGCGGAAACAAGGCCCCGCATTCACGAGGGGAGAGGGGGAGGGCGAAGGGATATGAATGGCGGCGAAGACCAAAGGATCCTCCCCGAGGATCGATCGCGCGGCGGCGGCGGCGGCGGCGGCGACGGTTGTCGGTGTAGACGTCTATCGATCGAATGCCGATAATCTACGGATCGGCTCTCCGGCCGGATGGCAGCGAGTTATTATGTAATGGGACAACGTATGGCGGCAATATATAAAATCGGCTTCGTAACGCTCGTGACGCGTCGCGGCATGAGAGAGGTAAGACCCCGCGCGTACAATGCACGAAACGACAGATAGACGCGAACGCTGAGTGTATCCACCGGCACAAATAAATGATTGAGATCCTTGATACATCGGACCACCAACGAATAGGAGAGATAGCGCGCCGTGGCACACGGTAAATTAACTGTAAACAGTGCCCCGAACAGTGTCGCGCCCACGATAGCATCTTGACGTCGCGTCGCGCGGCTAAAACGATTTGATAAAGACTGCAGCAGCGCGGCTGAAACGGCTCTGATAAAGAAAACGCTGTCCGCGTGCATCGTCGGATGAGATGCGCCGCGACGCCGCGAAAATTTCTCGGACGCCGGAAGGACTCGAGAAAAGGAGAGAGCTTTTCACGCGAGCGTTTCAGCGCGAGCGAGACAGGATGGACCGGCGGGTCGTCTCGATCTCGGATATTCCCTCTCTCGCGCGATTCCCAAGTCCGTATTAGGTCGCGCTGCACGAATCTATCATCTCCCGAAAGGCGTGCCGAAGCCCTCCTTTGAGAGGTCAGGATCCATCAATCCAAGCTGTATGCAGGCGCACCGGGACCACCGCTGGGAACGCCGGCGAACAATCTGCCGAGTCATCCACGGCCGATCTTGGCACATTCGTCAACCCCGTGGGCCTCGTGTGTCACCTCCTCGTGGGCTGACGTGGGAGAAGTCCCGGTAACCCGTGAATTCGACATAAATTCGAGAGAACCCCGCGCGCCAATGGCGTAGCCAGAATTAACTCTCTAGGACGCTCCTCACGCGTGGAAAGAGTTCGCGCGTATCGAACGCAATCATACATATATTTCCACATTTCCTAACGCTAAAAAAAGTTCGTTAAATCGCAAGTAACGAGCGGCATATATTTTCAGAGTGGATTATCTAGATGTCTCTCTATATTATTTTTTCTCCCTCCGTAATCATAAACGGTAGTATAGCGTAATCACCGAGAATATCGCTTCGACCCCGGACTGGACTCCGCTTTAATAAGGAGAACGAGGGTCTGTATCCTCGGGCGATGCGCGAATCGCCCGACTCTGATGAATCCCCGACGTCGTCCCGACTACCAGAAGACGGCAGCCGTTCTGCCGGCGCGTATATACCCTTTAACGATCGCATCAACGATCATAAAATCCGCGATCTCTGATTAGCCGTGAGACCGGGGCGGCCCGGGGGAGGGATGACCGAGGTAAATTTCGTGCTTCGACCCTAATGACGGGAGGCGTGTTTACGGTATAGGTATATCTATACTGTCGCCTAGTTTTTGTACGATTTTATAGAGCCCGCGGCTCTTCTGTGAATCCCCTTGCTCTTCGTTAGACCCTAATTGCCGTCAGGTCGCTATTACGGTCGCACTACTTGTCCGCGCGCGAATATCAAACATCGGGCACACGCACCCGGATACGGCGGAGTAACACTCGTGGCATCGCGATGCGATTTACCTTCCTCTGGATTCTGGCCAGATATTGGCGATTTATTCGGCGGCGAGTCAGAATCGAGAAGAAAAAGAGTGTCCTCCGTCTCTAAAACGCGACGATGATTTGCGGGCTCGCGATCGGGGCCCGACCGTCGTCGCCAAGCCTCCGGACGCCTTCCCCCCTTCTCCCTTCCGCGCGAACTGTGAGATTATAAATCAGGTAATCAACCGCCATAAAAGTCCACCCACACGAGCGCGGGTGCTCTTTCTTGCCGGGAGAGACCTCGCGCGACTTTTACGCCCGTGTATTCGGGCTCGCGCTCTATCCTTAAAATCTCGAGATACGGCAGCGATTCGCCACGCCGGGGGTCCGGGCCCGCGACGACTGGACGTCCGATCCACCCAACAAAGCGTGTCCGGTGGTCACTGGTGATAAAGAGGAACTCCCCCCCTCTCCCCCCGCGTTGTATCGCGATCCCCGTAATTTTCCATGCTGTTTACACGCAAGTATATTATTTTGCGTTATTTTTAATTTCGCAATATAAATGCAGAATTTTCTTTTATACAGTTTCCTCCTCGATCATGCACAAAACTTCCTTTTTTTCCGAGTTGTTCCTTGATAATAATTCCGATAATATCGCAGACCGCGATGGAGTTGTTCGCGTAGCTTCGGCGCGAATAACCGAGATGTATCCTGATTAATATTCCCGCCATCGTCCGGGTCGATCATTCTACTCCGCAGAGAGTGAGACGAGATGAAATAAAATCTCCGGAAATTCGGTTTACTCTGCCAGGGAACGCGGCGGCTTTATTAATCCAATAATGGTCGTCGCTTTCTCTCTCTCTCTCTTTCTCTTTTTCTCTGGTTGTCTCGCGAGTAGAATGAAGAATGCACATTTCTAGAAGGCTGTGTCGTCGACCGTTCATAAAGTAATCCACTTGTTAGAGATACGTATAGGATGGAATATGGCAATACGTAGGCTTGACGGAAAACTGATAACGTTTCCCTTTATTTTATAAACGTAGTTCGAACGGCGCGTTTATTTTCTTACAAAAATAAGATTACAAAATGTAATTTCTCCTCTTAACGTATCGTGTAATTATTATGGCGCGTATAAATGCTACTAACCTATTGTAATGTGATTATTGCAGAATTCATATTGTATCGGACAGATGGAAAATCTTAAATCAGATTTCCTCTTCGATTTATGTCCATTTCTACTAATGTAGATTAACTTTAATCTCAGTTCAATTTATCTAATTTTTATTTAATTTATATCTTTTCATTTTTTTTTTAATTTTTTCTAACATCTCGAAAAAGATAAATACCTAATAAATAATAAGTAGAAATCGACCAATGTAAATAAGCGAAGAGTGGCCTTATTCGATCAAAGTGGATGCCTAATAATATTTTTGCATTAATTTTACAATTTTAAATAAATAAAGTTTTAACTTATTATTTACCTAAAATTAATAATTTTAAGTAAATAAGAGGTTAAGCTTTAGTACGATTAAAATTAAACTACATTGGAGTAGAAATGAGCATTAATCCTCTAATTAATATCTGCTGCTTATGAAATGATTATCATATCTTTTGTATAAATTTACATTCTTATGTTACATTCCAATATAACAATATGTGTATATATACTATATACACAAATATACTTTAATATACTTTAAATATATCAAAAAATTTAACATCTGGCAAAGTGCTGTATACAGATCTCAGTATTCGCTGCAAGAACGTATGTCATGTATACAGCTGTTAAATATTTGATATAAGATTGGCTATCAGCTTGAATATCTACTGATATTATAATTGATATTTTATTGCATTTCTCTCCTCTCGGGAATGAGGATGGTATATAAAATTATACTTTACCTTATATATCACGCATGTGGTCTTAATAACTCGGAAGGAGGAGAGGAAGAGAATCATGATATTCGACATATTCGAGAAAGCATTGCGTCCACGTTCTTAATTAATCAAAAAAATTATAAAGTCTTGCCTGCCAGGGCAGCTGCTTTAGAGAGCACAATCTGGATGTCCATCGAGGGAAAATTCTGGACACAGAACGTATTATTTTTTATATTTTATTATATCCTTAATAATAATAAAAAATATGAATGCACATGTATGTAATGAAACATGTTTACATAATCTCTCACCTGCAAGAGTTTAACATTTGTAGCAAAGTCGCCGGCCAGCAACTGGTCCCGCAGTAATCTAAAAATACATGTGTGTAAAAGAACGGATGTGAAAATTGCTGAACTGATAAAATTGCTAAAGGCACGATAAAAATGTGTTTACTCACAGGATCATGGCACAGCAGATATGTATGAGGAAACTGAATCTGTTCTCATCAGCGAACAGGGAATCCCATATTCTCATGACATCCGGCAGGGGGAACTCTTGCGAAAGTAGGAGCGTCAACCACCTTGTAAGCGCGAGAACAATGATAACAGTGAAAATTATGAATTTGTCATCGATCGTCATCGATATATAATACCATCTGTTTAGATATATTACCTAAAGCTGTAATATTGTGGGCACAGCTCCTGCTGATGCAGACGCAGCCACACCTCGGGATCATTGGTTCTAACTTGATTGGTCAATTTACTCATCATCGAATTAATTCCAAATTCAGCTTCATCCAACGTCTTTATGAAGAAATCACGTATTTCGGCCATCAGATTAGTAAAACAGAAAAAAGTGTCTGCCTCGGCGTGTTCTGCAAAACGCAAGATATATCGCAATGTATATCGCTATCAACGGATGCGGTTTATCGTATATCGGATTGCAAATTGCTCTCATATCGTAATACACACTTCTCCATGTGGAATCCGGATCGCAAGCGAACGCGTGATATATGGGTCCGACTATCTCGTTCATTCCCTGCACATAACCTTGACCGGGATTCAATTTGGCGTATATGAAGAGTATTCTTTCCAACACTTCCCAGTGTGCCTCACCACCCTCGGCCAACGGCGCGTAATCTTCCGTAGCCTTTCTGACAGAAACCGCTATCTAACAGATAAAATGTAATAATGTAGCGCGATAACGTGGGCGGTATCTCTACAGGACGTTATGACCTAACCTCACTGATATACTCTCTGTTTACAGAATGTAAAATATAAAATTACAAGGATTTTTTTAACGCTATCTTATAGACAGAATGTATCACTCTACTTGCATCGTTTATAATACCTGCTGCTTTCCACGTGAACGTTAAGGGCAAAAATAAAATCTATTAATGAGTTTAATAGAGAAATTAGCGATGGACGCTCTAATCGTTTGTAATTTTTTACCTTGGTCACTCCTAAGCCCTTCCTCTCGACGTTCGCGCTTTTCAGCACCGTGTGCTGAACTCTGTGGTGCAAACGCTGCTGACCGTTAGCGTTCACTATCTTTTGACACGGATAATCAGTGCCTTGTTGAAAAAATGATATGTCTGGACAGAGTCGTCTGTAAATTAGATAAAATTTATTTTCCCTCGATTTTCTTTGTCTTTATTTTGTCGGTGCCTCGGAGCGAAGGAGAGTTTTCAGAATGTTGAAGTGATTCGAGATACTCACCTGACATCTTTATCAATCTGGAGTAGGACTTCGTTATCTTTAAAGTACGTCTGCCACTTGCTGTCGGGATTCAAATTGAGAGGATGATCGTGTAACGTCACGTCCACTCTCTCCTTGTCATCTGCATTCGATTCGCCAGGCATAACAATGAGATCCTCTGCGAAATCGTCGAATTCAAAAGCGTCATACGTAAGTTTCAAGAGAATCCAAATTATTTCTATCCAAGAAAGTATCTCCTCTCACCGATGAAGGTATTGTACAATTCCCTTTTGCGCTTCAGGGTCTCTATCCAACTGGACTTTGTCGGTGGCAGATAGTTGAGCAGCAGCTTCCAACACAGGGGCCTGAGGCCACCGGGCTCGTCGGGCACGCCTGAAGTGACAAAAATTGCGCGATTAGAGGGGGGGCCCGTAACGGGAGCTCGTAAACACGATAACATCGCAATCGTGTCTACGACGAATGAACGAAACGGAGATAGTCAGTCGTACGTGACAGGCGTACCATGGAAACATATTTTACTGAGGCTGGCCGTATCTATCTCGTCCGCGTCGAGAACGTCGTCGAACTCGCTCAATCTGCAAGCAAACCCGCCTGTGGATTAAACGGACACGTCGAACACGCACCGCGGCCACACGGATCGGATCGCGCGCGGCGGCGGGCACCAAAATACCTTACTCACCTCTTTCGCAGGATGCTCATTTTCCTGGCCCGTGACAACACATGTGACAACCCAAGCGGGGGATCCAGCGGCGTGGGAGCTGTGCGCGGATTTATCTATCCGCGGCCCCTTATCAGCATTCGGTGGGCGTGCGACGCGGCGGCGGCGGCGGCGGCGACGGCGCGGGCGGGCGGGCGGACGCGTGTACACAGACGTGATGCGGCGGTATCCCTTTTTCTCATTATTGACAGCGGCCCGTCGACACGGCACGCGCGACGACCGCCATCGCCTGTCGAATCGCTCCGCGAGAGACCTCCACGCACGACCACCAGCTGTAGCGCGCCGGCGGCGATGGGCCGTTGACTCCGACAGAGAGAAGCGCGAGACTCGTGAGAGCGGCCACGCCGGCCTTTTAGGTGAGGCCGGCGATCTCCCCCGGAGTACGCTGGCGCCCCACGTCCACGTTTCAAAGAAGGAACTACGTACCACGTCTATCCAAGTGCCGACGGGAGAGAATAGGCGCGGTGTGATCTGATATAGGAGCTCGACGAAGCTCCGAAAAGCAATTACACGCTAGATTATTATCTATATATCTGCAATCCTTGTATTCTTTAATGCTAGTCTCATATAATACTATCTTGAAAAGAATTAAACAATAAAATAATTTAGAATATTAATTATTGTTGCATGGATGCACAACGAAAAGGAGGAACATCCAAAATCCTCCGCCGACGGGAGACAATATATAGGCGCGGTGATTTTCCGAGAAACGCCTAGTAGCAATTTCACGTCTCTCGTTAATCATTATGCAACAATAACGTTGTAGAATATTTTATTGTTTAAGTCTTCTCGAGAAAGCATGCAATTCGCATTAAAGGGCACGTGAAACTGTTACTATATAAAGGCACATTTCTCGAAAAATTACGCCTCCCGTCGCCCACTGTCTCCCGTCGGCGGGGAGGCGTGATTTCTCGAGAAGATCTTATTAATAAAATATTCTAGAACATTATTGTTACATAATAATTAAATAATAGTTTCAATTTAATTACATTATAATTAAATAATAGTTTAAATTTAATTACGCATCTGTGGAGATGCACAAAGGATCATAAATATTGTTAAAAATACATATAGAGATGAAAGGTTAAGCAAAAGCCGGCTTTCGCAGCTTTCAGAAACTTCGTTTAAATCGAATAAAGTATCAGGAGCGCATGCTAACTAAGTAGGTGGCAGAGGTATTCGGGGCGGAGACCGCCAGCGCGCCAAGGAGGAGGAGCCGCCTTACCCCCACCCACGCATATATGCTGCTTTTGCGCTGAGAGGCGGGGCCTACGCGCGCCGTATGAGAGTGGGAGTAGTCTTGGGACTCCGTGCCTCTTCGCCTAACAGTTTTCCGACTTATCGACAAGCCACTGTCGATACGCGCGCTAGCTAGGATTCCGTGCCACCTCTTCGCTCAACGTGTTCTCCGCGTATCAGCGGGAGTTTTCGAGCCTCTATATCGAGGCGCGCTGGCTAGGACTAGTAGGATTCCGTGCCACCTCTTCGCTCAACATGTTCTCCGCGTATTGGCGGGAATTTTCGAGCCTCTATATCGAGGCGCGCTGGCTAGGACTAGTAGGATTCCGTGCCACCTCTTCGCTCAACGTGTTCTCCGCGTATCGGCGGGAGTTTTCGAGCTTACTGACGAGACCCGCTGTCCAGGATTTCGTGCCTCTTGAACACCATGTTTTCTGCCTTGCCAACAAGCTTCTGTCGATACGCGCGCTGGCTAGGATTCCGTGCCACCTCTTCGCTCAACGTGTTCTCCGCGTATCGGCAGTTTTCGAGCATCTGACAAAGCGCGCTTTGGCTAGGCACGTGGATGTGGTCCAATGGTTCGTGTCCGTGCTAATCGTGCATTATATATATCCCACATTCTACAATTTGTGGATGTATCGATGCCTCTTTCCCGGCCGCTCGATATCTCGGCGTCGAGACTCGTCGTGACTCGCTCGTGTGGACCGAAAGTATCGATAGTATTGATACTCTCGCGCGAGAAGGAGCAAAAGAGAATCTGTATAACCTCTTTGAAAAGAGAACGCGCAACAGCAGGTTTTCCTCTGCCGTGTTGATACGGGGAGGGGAATGCCGAGTTTACGTTTACGCCGAGAGGGCGGAAAGTGGATTGCGAGGACGAGCGGTACTTCAAGAGGAATCTGATGTCGGCCGCTGTCTGATATCAGCTGATATCGACTGATATGGATACTGTCGATGTGCGCGGAGTGTCGAATTGCCAAAAATTCACACGTCCATCTCTCACGTGTGACGTGACGTGCCCGCCCCGAGTGATGTTTACACAGAAGAGTGATGAGTGTACGGTATTTTAAGACACCGCGAGCGAGTTCGCGTGTGCGCACCTCTTGAAATATATATACAATATACATGTCGTTATCTCGGCTCGTTGGCAACGCCAGGTTGTTATTACGACGTTCCGTCGTGAATCGAGATCGTAATGCCACTTTGTAACGTGCGCGGTGATATTTGGATGTAATTGTAAGTCTTGGCTTTTTCTTAACTTATAACCTTATACCATGATCACTTTTCCGTCACTTAACCTATCATTTACTTACGTTAAAACGTCTCTTTTGGATCTCGAATTATGCGCTATTTGCTCATGAATTTTTTCTAGCTGCTTTACGGCCGCGCCAAAATGCCGTTCAAGTTCCACTTAAAGAAGAGCAGGCAGTACAATGTCGTGTCTAAGAATCAGTACGTGATTTGCGTCGAGCTGTTGGACGCCACCTCGATAGAATGCACCCTCGGTATCGACAGCGTCGGCCAGGAGTGCCTGGACAACGTGATGCAACGCTTGGGGCTGGGGCAGCCCGAGTTCTTCAGCCTGCGCTACGTTTGCCGCGGTACGTCGTCGCTCCGATGGATAGACATGGACAAGCCACTGAAGAGGCAGCTCGAGAAAGATGCCAAAGGCTTCACGCTTTACCTGAGAGTTATGTACTACATCGTGGACGTGCAGCTCATTCAGGATGAGATGACAAGGTTTTGACACAATTATATTTCGCTCGAGTGACACAAGCCTCATAGAAAATATGAATCTAATTTTGTGTGTTCCTTCCTTTTTCTCTTCCACAGATATCATTATTATCTTCAACTGAAGAACGATGTGCTAGAGAACAAGATACATTGCAATTACAGACAGGCGTGCGTGCTAGCGAGCTATTCTATGCAAGCTGAGTTTGGAAATTACAGTCCGGAGAGACACACGATCGAGTATCTCCAACAGTGCACTTTCTTTCCAAACGTAATGCCAAGTTTCACAGCTAGATCACCAATTGCAAATGTATACATCTAAATTCGAGGTTTCTATTTAGGACGTAAACAAAACTGACCCAGGTGGGCAAGAATCTCTCCTACACACAGCAATATGCCAATACAAGGGTCTTATTAATATGACACAGGCTACTGCGGAGGAACTGTATATCTCGATTGCCATGCAACTGGAGGGATATGGCACCGAAACGTTTACTGCGAAGGTACAAATAGCACAATAAATGAATTAATTCTTATTGCTTCCAGTAACAACTAGTTGCAACTATTGGCATTCGTGTTTCAGGATAACAGTAACAACAAAGTTATACTTGGAATTTCCATAAATGGAATTATGGTGGCCTATCCTAATACGCAAACGACACAATTTTACAGGTTATTTTACTTTTTACTTTATATACGTAAATTTTAAGTGGTCGTAAAATTATTTCAATATATTAAAATGGATAAATTTATATTTTACAGATGGAAGGACATCAGTAATGTCATAAATCAAAAGAAAACGTTTAGAATAGAGTACAAATGTGAAGAGGCGAAGCAATTTGTATTTTCCGAGTCGCGCGACGCGAAATATATTTGGAGGCTGTGTATAGCCCAACATTTATTTTACATACAGTATCAAGAACGCCGTCCGCAAGAAAGATCTAGTGGCTGCTGTGTACGTAAATTAGCACTTGTTTAATATTACATTGAAACACACAGCATTTTATGTAATTAAGTTTAATATGTCATTTCAGGATAACGATACAAACGATTCTAGTGAGCAAGCAGTATCCGTGAATTCGGATAACAGGACCTCGGACACGCATACGCGGTGGACAAGTTACAACGATCTTTCGATACCGTCGCCGTGCCCTGTCGTGTCCGTTTCGACTACCGATATAAATAGTTTACGTGCGTTACTCCCGTCGTATAGACCGGCGCCTGATTATGAAACGGCGGTCCAAATGAAGTATAACAATGGTGGAAGCGCTGCTCACAATCAGCCTTATTACGCGAATCAGTCCGCAATAGTTGGCTCGGACATTTCGTGCCTGCTAGGTGTAAATCGTAATAGGTATTAAATTTAATGAAATAACTGATATCACAATAAGTTCTTGCTGATAGTTGTGATACAAGGAATTTCACTGAACGACTCACTAAAAGGAGAGATTATGTATTATGTATAATTCATAAATATTGCAAATAAAATATTTATAAATTATATATGAATATATTTTTATATATACATATATTTATAATTTGTATAAAATATATATTAAATATATAAAAATATGTTATTTCGTTGCGAATAATCCTTTCTAAAAATATTTTAAAATTAATATGCGTGCACGCACAAATTTGCAAATAGCGCTTTTATCAACGAAATATATTATCCTTTCTGAGTAAAATAATGCTTAACAAGAAATCTAGATAATAATCAAAATTAATTGTGAGAAAATATAGTATATATATATTTTTAGATCTTTAGAATGTGTTGTATATACATTATTTACAATTATTATTAACAAACTGATACGGATTGAAGGAGAGATTTCTCTTTTTGTGAAATAAAATAACATTTGAAACATTTATATATTTAAAAAATGTATGTGTTGCAAATGTCAAAATATAAAAAATGTTGAGTCAGTAAATATTTTTAGCAAGCCTTCTTACTTAAATTTTCCATAGATTCGGCAGCTGTGATCGCACGCATCAAAGCTGCTGGTTCAGGTTTATCTGCAGTGGCGTATACTTTGAAACCAGAACTAATTAATGCATCTCTCGTTACAGGTCCTATCGCTACTGCTCTTACATCTTTGACATTATAGAAATGTCTCTTAAGCTGCACTGTAATATACTCCACTGTAGATGGACTAAAGAAAACAAATATACTAGGAGATTTCTCGAGCATTTTTGGCAACTCCTGCTCAAGCGTTTCGCTCTCTAACGTCCTATAAACCATGATCTTTTCTATTGAAATTCCACTGTCTCCGACGATGCAAGATATAGTTTCGCGCGCAATTTCACTGCACGGATACAATAACGGTTTTGAATCCTTCTTTACGTCAAGGACAATTTTCTCAGCCAGTTGCTTTGAATTACCGGACTGACTGCCTACACAGTGTTGCAAGTTAAGTTGGCTTCTGGCGAGAGACTCCGTCGCAGGTCCCACGCAGTACGCCGGCATCTGTTCCCAATGATACAGGATACTGGCATCTTCTTTTGCTGCCAGTGCAACAGCTTCAACCGTACGAGGACTCGTTAATATTAAACCTGTAATCAATGGTGAAATATGGTAAATATATATAAACCCATAGTGGTAGAATGTAAATTTAATGTTATATTAAAAGTAGTACGTTACCACTATATCTGTCAGCTACTGACAGACGTGTTCGCAACTCCGAAATATTTACAAATTCGAATCTCAAAGTTTGTAAACATTCGCAACTGTAACCAGCTGATTCCAAGGTCTCAATATACGTCTCTTGCTTATTGTTGTTTTCGGACAATCCTTTGCACAATACCACTATCTTGCCACTTCCGGCCATGGACAAGCGTGTTGTAATTTGCAAAATTAAAATTCTGGATTAACAGAAAAGAATAAATATAGTGTAATTATTAGTAATGATGTTGCATAATATTATATACATTATTTGTAAAAAAAAAATATCAAGAAAATAATACATTTTCTATCTCTTTAGTACATCCCATGTTTCTATATTAATACCTCTAATGTCAATGACATGGCTAATTTATATACTTTTTTCTCTTTAATTAATTACAAACCTACATGTCACTCGTTCATCACGTATGTACCGACAATGTGTAATGAGTATTCGATAGTTGTATTACAAGCGTATGCGAGGCGCACGCGTCGCAAGAAAATTTAGGAACTCTGTTAGGAACTCGCCTGATTTGCAGTTGGCGCTCCTGCGCGCACACGGGAAGTGGAGTGCTGGTGATGTGACGGCTTTTCCTTTAAAATCGTGGTGTTGAGAGGTATGTATTAGCCGACCCGTCGTGTTTTCCAAATCCGCTCGTATCCAGCTCATCGTCGAGGTAACCGTTTTACGAGAGACAATTTCTCGAGTAGCAAACTTCAAGCTGCAACGTGGACGCGGAGAATGTCGCGTCCGCTCGCGAGAACCGCCGCGAGAATCGCGAGAGAAACGCGGCACGACGCGGGGCGGATCGGATCGCCGCCGGCGGCCGTCACACGTTCGCCGTCGCGGTGAGGGCCGGAAGGAATCTGTGATCGGTCTGTTTGTGCTTTCAGGACACAATGGGTCGTTACTCCCACGAGCCGGTCAACCAGACCAAGTCGTGCAAAGCGCGCGGCTCCAATCTCCGCGTGCACTTCAAGGTATGTAAATATTTCCCCCCCGTCGGAGGAGGGTACATAACCTCAAACGACGTCTTCCTCCCTTGAATGTTTACGCGAACGTACAATCGATCGTCTCTCCCGTGCGTTACAGAACACCCATGAGACGGCGCGTGCTATCAAAAGTATGGCCCTGCGGAGAGCGCAGAAGTACCTGAAGAACGTCGTCGAGCACAAGGAGTGCGTACCTTTCCGTAGGTTCAACGGTGGCGTCGGCAGGTGCGCTCAAGCCAAACAGTTTGGCACTACGCAAGGTGTGTATAATGCAGAATTTCGACGCGTAAAGACCGGTCTACAATTGCGTAAGCATAGTTGCAAATAGTTGTAGTTGTAAGGATATACCAATCACAATCGAATTTAAGAAGAATATTCGACTGTAATTCGGTTCTTCGGTTCGTCGGTTCTTACAACTACAATTACTTACAACACTTACATAATTGTAGACCAGGCTTAATGTAATTTCTACGCATACTTAAGTCAATTCTGAAACCTGGCTTATGTAGGCCATAACCTAACCATTAGTTGCACGTAGCGTTGTTCATAATGACTTGTTATGAACAAAAGAAAATCCTTGTGTTGAACTTTGCCAGTTCCGACAAAAGTTAACGGTTATGGCCTGCATAAACGAGGCTTAAATATTTGTGAATTAATTTATATGTTCATTTCTACCAATGTAGATTTAATCTCGGTTTTATTTATTTTTTAGTCTTTTTCTAATTCTTAGAACTAGTGAAAGATATAAAATAAGTTAAACCAAGATTAAAGTTAATCTGCAACATAACATTGGTAGAAATGGCCAAGAGAAGCGTTGATTATGAAATCAAGCTGTTGAAAAGTAAAATGTACAATCTAATTAACTTATATATCAGCTCTAACTTGTTAACTGCTTAATTCCTAGGTCGCTGGCCCAAGAAGTCTGCAGAATTTCTGCTGCAGCTTTTGAAAAATGCAGAGAGTAATGCCGATTACAAAGGACTCGATGTCGATCGCCTTGTAATAGAGCATATTCAGGTTAACCATGCGCCTTGCCTCCGTAGAAGGACATACCGAGCTCATGGTCGTATAAATCGTAAGTGTTTATAACTGACAAATACTGAATCCTAAAAAATATGTCTAGAAAGCAGATTATTGCTAATGCTTATGATTTTTACAGCTTACATGAGCTCACCTTGTCACATTGAAGTGATATTGACGGAAAAGGAGGACGTTGTTGCGAAAGCTACAGAGGAGGAGCCATCGAAAAAGAAGCTTAGTAAGAAAAAGCTTGCTAGACAAAAGGAAAAAATGATGAGGGAATAGATCCGCTACTTTATACGCAAGTATGTTGGGAATATAAAACATGGAAATTACTTGGGTTTTTACTTTCACTTTTGTGTCTCTTTACTTATGTCCTATCCCGAACATCAATACGATGGACACACACTGAAATGTATTATATTATAAATGAAATATCGTCTCCCTCGAAACGAATTACTATTTACCTTGTGCTTCTTTATGCAACTTTTTAATCAACCTCTTCTAAAATCGAGGCATATACAGAGGGTCGCAATTAAACTCTGTATCTACTGTCAATTGCCCTTACACGGCCACGTGTCTTTATTAGAGATATATTATACATTTTATGTACTATATGGTTTCAGTCTTAATATTGGGACTAAAGATTAGGAAAGAATATTAAGAACTTCAAGAAATATATATTTTTTTTTTTTTTTTTTAATTTCTTTTTACATCAGTACGTCAAGTTATGTCTGTTGTGACGTAAAGCGATAACAAATTTATTTAATCTCGGTGCTCGATTGAGCATCGTAAAGAATATATTGTAGGAAAATATAATTATATATATATACCTATATATATTAGTTCAAGAATTTAATTGCCGTATTTAAATACTATGATTAATGTCTCAGTATATGTATAAAATTCGACTAAGGCCTAATTTGTGTATCATGAATCAAAACTAAATGTTACGTCCGTTTTTTCGTTTCGTTCGCTTTCGCTAAACTCTCGCTACAACGTTCTGCTTAAACAACGTTCTATGTGTTTCCTTTTTTTTACCTATTATAATAGGGATTATTATAAACAGCAGAGATTCTAGTTTCCTACTTGCGAAATGAGAATATCTTCGAACTTTAAATTTCTCTTTGCAACGCTACTGTGCAATCGTCGCGTGACGCCCGGTATTTCATAAAATTCGGCACTCGTGTACGCGACAGAAGTATATATAAATGATCGATAGACTGCTACTGCCCGATCGGGATGGATTTTCGCTGAGGTCAGGAAAGTGGTTCGCGCGTTGTGTTCGGTAAGAATAAACACAGCAAGCCTCCTCCTGCGAGTTAAAAGTATATGAGAGAGTTAAAAATAAAAATTTTAGTAAAAAGTAAAAAGAGGTATTGAAGACGCGCTTACCGATCAGAAGAGCAGCCACTATGAAGGTCGGTGCTGGACAATACATGTCCAAGAGTTGGGCTATCACGATATTACCAATTATCCCGCCAAGACGAGCGGCGACCATCGAGATGGCGATTCCGGTTGCACGCAGCTGCGTCGGGAACACCTCGGTAATGAGACAATCCAATGCCGCATTGCCGCAACTTATCGCGCCGCTGAAGATAGCCGACACGGTTAAATTCTGATATTTGTTGTACACGAAGTATAAGCCGATCGAGCATAGTCCTGATGAAAATGTGCTGAACACTACGAGGAAGCGTATACATAAGATATAGGAATAATTATTAAAAGAATTATAAGATGCCGCATTTTTCGTTACGATAATCTTATTGCTTTCGACTATTCCCATAAAAATAAGCACCTAGAAAGAATTTACGTCCAAGGCGATCCATCCCCAGAACAGCGATGATATTAGCGGGTATGGCGGACGCCACCGTGATGAGCGACTCCATAAAAACGGACGCTCCAATTTTGTCGGAGCAAACATTCTCGTCGCTGTGCGAACCCTTGTTAACGACATAATCGGTAACCTGGCATATCGAGGCCACCTCGCCCGGTTGATCGCGATGGAACTCGTCGAAACGGTTAAACAGCTCCGGGAACCACATCATCAGGCCGTAGTAACCGATGTGGAAGGTGAAATTGATAACGATCGATATTATCGTGAAGCGAAGGATGGGCGTTACGAATAGCTGTCTACTGTTCTCCACGATGTCGCCCAGCATAGTCTTGCACTTGCTCTTTTCTTCGACATCGGCCTTCACCGGGTTCGATTCTTGAAAGTCATCGAGGATCAATTCTTTTACCTGTGTGACAAATTAGAGATAATATGTTAGAATTAATTGAAAAGATTGAACCTGTATAATGCCGATTACGATAAAAATTGTCCGAGATCTAATTACCGTGTAGGTGTCGCGCGGTTTGCCGGTGTTAATGACGTATATCTTGCGAAAGATTTCGAGCGCCTCTTCATATTTTCCGGAAGACAAGAGATACTTGGGAGATTCGGGAAGCAGCAAAAGCAATCCCGTCACGACGAACGACGGAATAGCGCAGATCAACAGAAAGATTCGCCAAGAATTGTACGTGAACGATGAGCTCGTGAAACCCATTTCTCTAGGAATGATTAACCATGCCAAGCCTGTGGATGAAAAGTCGAGATATATTGGCGTGCACAAAGAAATGTAGACACTTACAGAACTCCATTTATCCACTCAGTTTCCAAAAATACGAGCTCATATTAGCTGAATCTTTATTATCCGAATCGTTCGAATAATAAAAACTCGACGCGCTCGACTTCATTAATTATTTGCTACTCAACCTTGCTAATAAGTGAACCTTTATTACGCGAATCATTCGATTATCAAAATTGTCCATATTCGGATAAACGGAGAGTTCTAACAAAGTATTGAAACTTTTGTCTTACCGGCCACAAAAAGATTCCCCAACGTCCAGAATGCCGCCATAAAGGATAGCATGGAGCCGCGTTTGGATTTCGGCTGAAATTCAGCGAAGTATGACCAGATGACCGGTCCGCTCCCTCCTAGCCTGGAACGTCACTAAATTATTCAACCTTTTCGTTGCTGAGTGAGAGCACAACGTATAACGCGGCTACGTCGCAGACAGCTAAATGCGACTTCGTTACTTGATGGATATACTTACGCCGCGCCGTTCAGGAAACGGAACAGCATGAAGAGCTCGTACGTCTGGCTGAAACTCGAGGCGACGATGCACAGGGCGTTCATGAACGAGATGGCGATCAGGACCTTCCGACGACCGAGAGCGTCCGCGATGGAGCCCCAGGCGTACGCCCCGGCCATCATCCCGATAAAGATGATCGAGTTGAGCCATCCCTTCGCTTGGGTGTCGAGCTTCAGGTCGCATTGCGCACTCGGCAGGATGAAGGACATGGAGATCACGTCCATCTCCTCACTCGTGCTGACGAAGCCGCATACCGCGAGCAGGAAGTAATGGAACTTGCCATATTCTGCGAAAAAAAAAGCGACGCGAGAGCGACGATATAAGCGACTGCAAGACGCGTTTCAACGAAATTTCGCGAAATAAACTCACCGCTTAATTCGATGGCCTTCTCGAAATCAGCTTGAACATAGGATCCCTTCTCCGGATCGAGTGTTTTGCCCTTTAATCCGATACCTGCAGCCAATAAAATTATAGAATTAACGATTAAATCATAGACACGACACGATATACGATTACACAATCGGCGGACGCCGATTTTTTTTTCTTCGGAATTTACACCTACAGGCGAGTTCGAGTTCCTTGGAACCGCAACCGTTTAGCCGCTCGTCTTTTACATCACACTCTGCAACGCGAAATTAAGATCGTTAAAAAACTGACGCGAACCGTCAGGAAAATAGTCTATAGGAGATTTTATAGCTGTGTACGTACTGATATTGCGCTTTGTGTCGGGTTCACCTTCTACCATTCTATGATGTCAACGCGGGTGGGTGAAGCTGCCTTGGTTAAAAGAAAATCAGATATCGAGCCGTTGCGTTCGACAGGAAGCTTCGTCGAGTGTCAGGCCGGCGTGGTCGAACAGTGGGTGAAGTCTTTCTGCTGAATCTGCGCTGATCTGCTGCTCGTCGGCGGGACTGGGCTTCGCGCTCGCTCGTGAACTGAAACAGATCGAACGGCAAATTTGAAATTTTTCCGACTCTTGCCGAGAAAGACGCGAAAGATCAATTTCGTCCTGCCTTGAGGAGAATAAAAGTCGGCGCGTAAGTCGAGTGTAAAGGAAGAGTGACAGAAGCGCGTACGAAGGAGGTCGAAAATTGGAACGACGAAACGTAAAAGAGGCGTTTACTTAATTTACGTTTCGTTGTCTCAATTTCCGTCTGTCACTCCCCTCTTACATTCGACTTACGGGCCAATCTTTATTTTCGTCAGAGTGTATTCACGCACGCTGATGCGTGTACAAAAAAAAAATTCCCGTCTTTACCCAGCTCCCGTCGCTACGTCGTACAACGGTTCATTCGTATAATGGAGCTCAGAGAGGCGCGGATGAAATTATACGAATTCATCTAACAACGTTGAGTGTGTGTGATGCAATATTCGTAAAGTACTAGTTGTTAGTTCGACACACCAGTGGGTCGACATTCGCCGCGTCTGAGCTCCGTAATTTCGCGACGAAGCGACGACGATCGCGTGTTTGCCGTTAACGCGAATTCGTGAGCGAGATTAGCCTCGAGCGCGTAATTGGATTAATCGGGGGGAAGATGGGAACCATGGTAAATCCGAACGGTGTGATCTAACGGGTGAATCTACGAATGCGTGTATCGTCCCGGGACCAGCGGCTGCCTCCTGATCCCACAGCCTCCTCCTAACAGCACATATTATTATCAGATAAATCAGTCCCGGTACAATCCGCGCATTTAATTTTAAAATAACGCAATCTTTCCGCTAAATGCATCATCTCGAATTGCGTATATATATTATACCGGAGTCGATGAGTAAGCAGTGTTATTTTGCATCTAAATAATTTGCATTTCTTGCTCTTCAACCACCACTGATTGCGCGATATGTTATTATGAACAATATTACATATTCGAAGGCGATTATCGCCTTTGGAGCTGTACTTGAAGATGTCCTTGATGCGCTCGGGGAAAAAAAACATCAAACATCGTTTTAAATCCGCACGCGGTGTGCTTCGCGATCGTTTGAATTATTACTGGTTCCCACAATTCTATTATGCACAAACGTTACAAGCGACTATACATAACACTTTGTACCAACACTGATCACTAAGCTATTGACGAAATAATTGTGCCGAACCAAAGATAGCAAAGACTCTTAAATGAGTTAGCATTGTTGCCGGTGAGATAGCAGAGGGTAAAGTCATAAAAGACAATCCGAGGTAGTTACGTTAAAATTGTTTACGGAGTCAATTATATAAGAAATAAAGTGAAACGAGTCGTTTTTCGGAATTATATAAGAAATAAAGTGAAACGAGCCGTTATTCGGAAGGGAGAAGGCACGCGAGCCTCGGACGCGCGCATCAGAAGGGCGAAAAGAATAAAAAATAATAGTTAAATTTACGCGACAATTAGATTATTCGATAGACGGAATCGTACGAAAGTGGCATGCGGGTGGAATGTGTAAAAAAGAGAATATCGACCGTGACAGGACTCGAACCTGCAATCTTCGGATCCGAAGTCCGACGCCTTATCCGTTAGGCCACACGGTCTCGTTGAAGGGTTGTTTCTCACGGGGAGTATTTCATAGCTCGGGAGGCATTTTACCCTCTGCCGTTATCGATCTGGCTTGTGCGTTCGACAAAAGCTGATATTAAAATTTTTTTAACTTAAGTATGTTTGCGTAACAAAAATTAACGCATACATAAGTATGAAATGCACGTTTGCTGATAATGCGATGATGCGTGATAATTAAATTAATGTGATATATAGTGATATATAGTGATAGTAATAGTTAAATATTTAATTGTATATACAGAAGTTAATGGCGTTAACCACGAAACGCCTCCTTCGCAATTACGTCGTTAGAGCTCCTCTCTTTTTAGGATCGGCAATACGAATGACCGTCAAAATTTCTAAGTAAATTCCCCTGCAGTCATTAAAAGTATAACTAGTATAGTATTAAATCGTGCAGTCATTAAAAGTATAACTAGTATAGTATTAAATCGTGTGTTAAAAAAATACATTTTTAATAATTTAAAAAGTATGTATGTATATATATATATATATATATATATATGTGTGTGTGTGTTTATATGCAATATATTAAATCTTTTTAATAAAAATTAAAAGTAAAAATATGCAAAAATGATAATGATATTAATAGATATCATTATTGATTTTTTTAACACACGATTTAATATTATACTTTTAATGACTGCAGGGGAATTTACTTAGAAATTTTGACGGTCATTCGTATTGCCGATCCTAAAAAGAGAGGAGCTCTAACGACATAATTGCGAAGGGGGCGTTTCGTGGTTTAACGCCATTCTAGAAAACGACACGACATCCTGACTCGCTAATGAACGAACATCACGCGTGTCCCTTCGCGACGTGTCACCGCGACACAGAATCGTTTCCTCCGCAATTAAGATTGGCTGTTTGCGAGTCTGGCCATTAAATTCGAAACTTTAGATAAAAAAAGTTACCCATTTTTAATAAAACTACTAATATCCAGCAAACAAAACATTTCTGAGAATTCTGAAATAGTCATAAAGAGGCAGTGTGATTATCATAATATTACAGTTATCACTTCAAGGTTGCGGTCGATATATATACAATATCTATGTTTAAAAAAATAATGAAAAAACGAATGGAAAATAAAAACATATTTTATATATCATAGGATGTCAAATCGGATGTTCTTGGAATGATAAATCCTGTAGTTAATTCAAAATCTATTTTTTCTTAGCAAAAATATTGAGGGAGACCATCATTTATTACAATTTTCCAATATTTGCATTACATATCTTTGTAACTAAGCTTCAAATTGAAATGCTAGTCAAATAACCGAAAAGATAGAAAGCGGTCAATTGCAAATGATATATGATTCCAAATTTTATATAAAGCAAATATTTTTTAATTGCTCTATCCTAATAAAGTTGTAAAATTAATTGGAAAATAATTTGTATATTTGTTAAGCAATGGTCTCTGAAACTGATATCAAAAATCAAATTGCGTCTTGTATTTTGAATCAACATATATCTTCGAACTCCCGGTTAATAATACTAATTTTTAATGCTAATAATACGCGAAGACAAAACGAGGTCGAGTTCGTTTTGTGAAGCGCTTAAATTGGCGTGCACATTAAAGAACGCTGCATCGAAGGATCAAGTGATTTTTGTCAAGTGTTAATTATCGTCAATCTCAATCAAAATTGTCATATTCAATCTCGCATTGCCGATATCGGTGAAAGGAATGCACAAAATATTTAAATTACACTTGTTAGACAGCGCAAAACAGAGATCGAAATTTCTACTAATCTTTAACTAATATTAATGGAAGGGTGAGTGATTAAGTAATAGTGAATCTGCATTTTAATGTTACGGACACGCTTAAAACTTATTTTGATATTTTTAATCATATTCGCGCGTGCATCTTGCCTTTGAGGGAATTTTTGGAATTCGAAGGAATTTTCGATGAAATTTTCCGTGAAAAACACTTCCAAAGAGTTTTACAGGTGTGTACGTTTCCTATATGCTTGCGAACTTCTTGGGGAGGGGGATGATATCTCTTGCGCCGGTGTCGAATCCGCGTGTTGTAATCTCACAATTCTCGCAAATTTCCGCCGTCTTGTGTAAGAGAAACCTTATTTCACTCAACTTATTCGAGTAAGCGTATCACAACTGTGGAACGTTTCAATGCTCTTGACACGTGCATCAGTCACTTTAGTCCACTTTTCGCGAACTTTTGCGGCGATTACAAAAATTACTGCTATAAGTGCTATAATTTGTTTGAACGATATCTATATCGGGTATTGTGATATTTGATAGTGCGATATGTGAAACACTAGGTCGACGACGAGGACGACTGCGAGGACGCACCTGGATGCATCTGCGGGATGCGCGTGTCGCGCGTGTGAATCACCGAGATATTGGGATTTCGCTGGCTTAACGCTCGCTGATTAACCGTTCCTAATCCGATCAAGTCAGACGGAATCGCAGATCGGCATTAGTGTCGCTCGGCAATGACGTTTGACCCCCGCGATGCTTGTGAACGAAATGAGTGTCGGAGCGTTGAAACGCTAAAGGAGAACTACCTGCTATCTCCCACTAATATGAACCAATATACTCGGCGGTAGTGGTCATCGCGTTTCCGACTGCGATGCGTTGGAGGGGGCGGAGACGTACGTGCAAGGATGAGCATATATCCTTCACGGGGATGAGTCTCTCCGGAGCTTGGAAATTTTTCGAGCGAGCGAGCGAGCTTGTTTGCGGAATCAATGTCGTCAATTATCAGTAAGGGAATTTTGTTGAAAAAAAAAAAATAAAGAATGACCGACGAGTGTAATCGATATACACGAAGCACGACAGTCATAACGTATACCGACCTCGTCGTGACTGGAGCAAGGATCACTACTCCTCGGCGAGATCGAAGGTTGTCGTTTAATACCAATACCGGACGCTGCGCGACCCGATATCTACAGGATCAAGGCATTTGAATATAAAAATAAGAAAAAAAAAGAGAACACGTAACGAACGCCGCGCGACATGTGTCGCCATGCGCGCGCATAATTAATCGAACGAATTATTGTCGCGATTCAACCCTTCGCGGAACGATATCGAGAACCTCGGAAAGCGGTTTCAACCGGTTACGTAAACGTCAGGGAATAAACTGCGACAGCGGTTTCAACCGGTTACAACGTAAAGAAATGAATCGTCGGCATCGCCGTTCCGGAGACGAATCACATGACGCGAATCACTTTCGGCGCTGCAACGCTGTTTGCCGGACGTTTTTAGATTTTCATGCTAAACGAAAGGTTTTCACCTGGGGACGCCTGGCGTGTTCGGCCAAACGGCGCGGATGTAAACCCAGCTCCGAACAAACGGGAACGATACATACTGTCAATATTTTCGGCCCGTCTCACAGACTCCAGCTTATCGCTTATTGATTTTGCCGGTAAAGAGTGATTTCATTGGAAAAGTGTATTCACCGCGTCTATTACTGACTACTATTGCCTTGACCGGTATTAGCGTGTTCTTCTAAATCTAAATGTAAATCGTTCGCGCATTGAAAATTGATCAAATTCAAGGGACTTGTTTCCTCTGTTTTAATAAGGAACTTTTAATTGTTTTAATATTCAAATTTTAAACTTTGAAAATTAAGAACTGCGACACCCAAACTTGCATGATAATTTTTAGATGATATTTTTACACGCTTAAAATGTATACTGTCGTCATAATCGTAATAAGGGAAGCGGTATTGTAAAAGAAAATATAACAAAAATTCTAGCGGTCGAATCTTATCAATTGCAGAGCGGATAATTATAAAAGTCAAAGTATTATCAGTAGAGTTTTGCTCTCAAGAATATCATTCGTTTTGACGGAAAACTCGAGTTATCTTGGAATCCTTGATTCAGTTATTCACTGACTTATTCAGAGACGTGGCGTGTCTCTTTTAAGAGATTAATAATAACGATTTGAAAAACAAAATGAGATACTTACGTATGGAGAGTTGCTAAGCTTCCAGTGAAATGTTCGCCCGAATTGGGGAACTACCAAAGTGATATGAGAAATCACAAAGCTTATATAGGGTGGCGCTAAGACACATCGGGATCCCCCACTCTGGTCCCGGCAGAATACATAGCGGAATGATTTCTATCACGCGTAGTGTCATGTCGTGTCGCAAATAAGAGAAGAAAGGAGAACGTCGCTCACGAGTCGGGCGCGCGCCAAATCCTTTATTCCCGAAGAAAACGGGACTGTTCGCGTATATATTGCATCGGCAAACGTAATTCTTCGATAAGGAGGCATCGTCCTGTGGATTCGCCGAACCATGTCGGACGATGAAAATCTGGTGCGAATTATCGGCCGTCCCGTGGCAACATCATTTTCTCGTGCATTCGTCCGCCTTGGTTACGGTCGACGAAAAACGTGTGTCCCCCCACGTGCGTGGACGCTCGTGCGTGACGGGCCCGCGTGTTAACGCCTAATTTCACGTTTTTACTCTTTTTCGTCCTATTGCGCAATCTTTGCATTTCGCGAAGACGGTTGCTGCGCTCGCGCGCCTCTCCCTCACGTTGCCCACACACGTGTCAACGATATCGTGATCGTGATGTGTGCGTGTGTTGTATTCCGCTATGATAAACGCCGCGTATCGATAAATTAACACTTGAGAAATTAATGTCTTCATTTGCCTTCGCCGAATCTCTCTGTTTACCTTGACGAGCAATCATATACCACCAGGAGACTGACGAAGTACGATATCGTTAAGATACTATTCTATGTATCTCTTCGTGCTGAAAATATCTAATAATCGTTAGAGTTCGAGCGGAGTGATGTCGAATGTAACGCACAAGTTTTACATGCACAGTTTCTCACGGATTCATTTGACGTAATGTGTTTATGGATATTATTCATTACCATTAAATGCACATCACGCATGCATAGTACGTGATACTACAATGTGTTTTCGCTCCGCTCGATTCTCGAATAAACTACGTCGTCAGTTAACAAAATGCTACAAATAGAAAGACCGAAATAAATCAATGATAACGCTCGATCAAGTGATTACATCGTGTTTACTCTGCACGTCAGACCTGTGCTAATTACTTCACATTACTTTACATTTCGCGTTTCGCCGATTTTACACACGTCCGGTTTAATTGGTCCATTAAGTCCCAGGAGATTCCTACGCGCTTTTCTGTTTTAAATACTTATTAATTATTGGAATGGCCTGTAATAATTATATCGATTTATTCTATTCAAAAAGATAGACGAAATCATTTTTAGATCATTCATTTGCAACCATTATATTTCTTTTTGTGGATTTTTAGAAAGAGCCTTTTTACCCTTAAACATTAATTGCGATTTAAAAATTGTGAGAAAAGGCCGAGTTTACGGATTTAAAATAAAAAAAGCTCATCAGAGGTCTCCTGGGGTTTAATGGATTAAGGAAAGTGATTGAGCTTCTCAAACAGTATTTTAGTTATTGTTTCGCTGAAAATAGCGCGCCCAAAACACCGCGATTGATTTATAGGAACAAAGGAAAAAGAACAGATTGAAACTCGGAGGAAAATACGTAGTTAATTACGTGTGCGCAGTAGCGGCATTAATCATCAACGTTTACCTACTTTAAAAAGATGTATGTTGATACAGGGGATTCGTACCGAAGGAAATTGCGATAATTGCGCGAGTGTTTGTCATACGTCTTAACTAGAGGACTTAACGAATCGCTAAACCGGTGGAGCTCAGCTTCTCGGAGCTACTCTTTGAGCTTCTGTGAATCACGCTGCTTTTCGTAATCGTAATCGCAATTCGATGATCTCGTGCGAGGAATAAGTAGTTTCAAGGGATTCTCCTTTACACTTTGCTCGGTAAACAATTCATCATCCCGTTCGTCATCGTACGATCTACGACACGATCGCCTTTCTCGAGCGAACGACTTTTAACGCGTTCGTTTGGCAAATCGAGATAGCGCCGTGCGAAAACGCGTGCTCTTATCACGAAAATTTCCAGACCAAAATTAAATACAGCATCGCCTCGCGTGGTACTACCGCTGAAAATCACGTTGCACTGTTTACCGTTGACGTTACGTGCCGATTGATATACGATAGTCTCGTAATCGATTGTACACATGCAACCGTGTCGTTTCTCGTCATCAGAGTATCGTCGAACACCCTCATCCCCTTAAATCCGACACCGATCTTCCGCGCATCTTTCTCTTATAATTTAGTATTCTCGCGATTCTTTTATAAAATCTTCGAAATTATATCATCTACGTGATGCATGGAAAGATCTAAATTTGCAATGTAAAGGCGGCTATTTACAATGGCGTTATATAATAGATAGCGTATTATGCATGCGTGCAATCAACAACTTGTCTGTCCTTGTTGGTTGCACGCGCTCGTAAGGATGTGGCGTATGAGCGCGTACGAATTGATTCCACGTTGCCATTTAAAAGTATACGCAACGACGCACGAGAGAAAGAGAGATTCTGCCTGCCAAAAATTTGAGACCACATATAAAATTTAAGAATATTCCAATAAAATACTTAAAAATCTGATTCATAACTTGCTCAATATTTTTTAATTTGAAAATAAATAGGCATTATTTTTAGTACAATTATAACATAATATACTGTTTAAATCAAAGAAAAGAAAAGACTTTATGACTACGATCATAAAGCCTTTTCTCCAAAACTGAGCTGTATAGGCAATTTTAGAAGATGGATGAATGAAACTTCCAGAAAAAAATAAATAAATTTGTAGACCATCTACAAGTTAGTTAAAAAGGGATTAAATATAAGAATGCTACTTTGTCGACAAAAATGTCTAATAATAATATTCTTTAAAAGTTTTCTTATACAAAATACTTTTGTAGAACCATTAATTGTTTCATACTATTTTATGTTTCATTATAAAACAATGAGGAAAATAATGACAATATACATAAGTTTAATTTCACTTTATATCGTAGATATTATCAATTAATAGTTCTAAACTTTTTTGTATGAATAAATGATAACGCGAGCGTTATAAATATCTCATCTTTACGAGAGTAGATATTATTTAATTGCAGCACTTATCGCACGCTCTCTTATATCCGGATCAACTAGTGTGATCTGGATCAATGTACGATCGGGCTAGATCGCACGCCTGATTACGCGATTCTCGCTTAACTGCCCGTTCTGAAACAAGGAGAGGTTTTTCTGCGCTATACACCTCGTCGCGCTTCGGTGCTGTAAATAATAAAAAAAAAACCGCGCGCGCGCGTCGCGATAAAAGCGGCCGTATATCTGCCGGAGTTCCATCGCCGCAGATGGAGCGAGATATCGGCGCCTCCGCGGCGACGTAAGTATACATACGCGCGTT